TGTTTCCGAGAACTTACAATTTACAGGAAACAGAGACATCAAAGATCCCTGACCTCAGTTACTCGGCACAAGCTTTCCAAGTCAGAAGCTCCGCTGGAGGCTTTACACTCCTGGGTAATGTTTTTGAATCTTTTAGGCGAACTTGGCAAGCCTAATAAAACCCTAAGGCCATAAAAAAAAACGTGTTCAACGCACAAGCGAGTGCCCCTCGGCGTGAGAAAAATGAAATATGGCAGAGCTGAAGCAAAAGTTCCACCACAACAGCTTTCAAGGACTTAGAGGCATGCAGAAAAAGCGCCATATAATCGCATGAAACGGCAGTCTGCAGTAATATCAATGCTAAGGGCTCCTCTCCAACTCTAATAAGCGCTAAATGTCACACATAAGAGCCGAAACAGTTGGCGACTGCCGCCGCTTATCGCCAACAAACAGCCACAGCTAATAGAAAATAATAAAAAAAAACATGCAAAAGGATGTGACCGAGTTGATAAATGCGTAAAATGATGAGGAAGAAAATGAAAAATACGAAGAACATGAAGAAGAAGAAGAAGAAGTAAGAGAAAGCAGCAAGAAAATCTACTGCCTCGAGAGGAAACATAAACATTTAAGCCACTTAAAATATCGCGCCAAGCATGACATCTGAGACGCGTGTCTACGCATTGCGAAAAAAAATAAGCGCCTAAAAATATGCAAGCGAAAAAAAGTACGCGCTACGCCTACAAACAGCCTTAACATGTGTATATACATGTATACATACATATTTATGTCTTTTGATTTAAAAAAAAATCATATACGACGTGTCTTTATCTAAGCCTCTCCATATCAAGACAACCGCCCTTATGTGGATTAGATAGTCTACTATTAGGCGCACGCTGTCATGTATTACTTAAGAGATGTGTGCATGAAGCCGTTGCCGCCGCCTAAAGGTATGCAATGAGCAAAAAATATATGTATATACATATATGTTTATATATAAAGCAGAAGAAATACGAAAATTTAAACGATTGCTCTTCAAACACGACACAACACGACAACCGCGTATAACGGTTAGTGAGCCATTGAGTGAAAGAGCGAGTGCGAGTGTATGGCGTTTATTTTGAGTGCAAAAACGTGGCTTGAGTGGCTGTGAGCTGAGTTAGACAGCATCCCACAGCCTAAAAGTATGCAACAGTCGGTTTGCCTATAGTTCATATGCACACACACACACCCACCTCAACGCCAACTCACTCGCTCATCCACTCACTCGTGCTTACGGCTAAGAGGGAAAAACGTCAAATTAAGAGCGCATTTGCAGCTAAAGATTTTAACGAGCACTGAAGAAGCAAGCACCTTCTTGATAGTCTTAGAAAGGCAAATGAAGAGGCATCAAATAGGCATAGACTCTGTGTCAGCGACAGGATATGCAGCATGCAGTAAAGGGATTACATTCGTTAGTGAAAACGTTTAAGTTGAACCGGAGGCATTTGCAATGATAATGGCACAGTTTGTGTGTGTGTGTGTGTATGCACCTTAAAGTAGGCAAAGAAAAATAAATATGTCTGACATTTTCCAGCTTTCCTGTGTCTATCAAATTTGCCAAGTGAATTTTGCCATATGCTGCTTTGACTGCGTTGCTGCTGGGTGCTGGTGCTCAGCATAATAATTTTTCCTCGTTATACTCTACACTTTGTTTCGGAGAGCATTGCATACTTGTTGGCGTGCTATAGTTATATTTATCTGTGTGTGTACAATATTTAGTTCTGTATATACATATGAAATGTGGCCACTAGTTGGTTATTTCGCTTATGCTCTCAAGAGTGTTGCCAAATTGTTTTGTAAAAATGGTGAAAATAAAAAATATTGACAAAAATTGGCATTAGCATACCTTTAGGCGCATTTGATTATTCTTAAATATTTTTTATATCTTTTTGAATGCTCAGCACTTATAAAAATCAACTTGTGTATTGCCAAATATGAAAGCAATTTTTAGAAATGATTGCCTACTTTTAGGCGCAATGTTCCTTTTTTTTTAACTTCTAGAAGCACAAATAGTAAATAATTTAATTTGAAAAAAAAAATTATCGGAAAATAAAATAAAAAAATCGTACCCTAAGACATCTTTTCAAATTTGCCTACTTTTGGGCGCAGAAAAATAAGCTGTAAATAATTTAATAAAAAAAAAGAAAATAAATTAGCCGAAAAATTTAATATATCAGATACTAACAATGGATTTGGAATTTAGAAAAAAATATTACATAATTTTAGGCATACCCAAACTTTCTTTAGCCTTTAAATAGCAATTTTCGTTGTTCCTTTCTCTAATTTCAAAACAGTTTTCGAATTTTCACTTAAATTGAACTGAAAAAATAATACAATACATATGTAAATAAAAAAGAGTAAAACATTGTATACTTATAGGCGCAATATATTTCTTTTCATGCTTTCAAACATCATTTTAGTTATTTTTTTTTTTTGTGTAAATAAAATTGGTTTTAAAGTTTCGAAACTTTTTATACATTTACTTTTTTTGACACATCCTTGTAGAAATTTAGGCTGAAATAATTCGCAAAATAGAAAATATCAATTGAAAGACAACAGTTCAAAAAAATTTCATTGGCTCGTTCTGACTTTTATGATAATTAAGAGCAAGCAATTCATTTGCTTGCCTACTTTTCGGCAGTTTAATAATGTTTCATAATTCCTTTACTCTAAATTTAACATTTTTCCTGACTCATGTATTCAATTTCCCATCTTAAGCATCAAATGATCAATTAAAACATACACAAAACTGAAAATGTGTTGCCTACATTTAGGCGCAAGTTATATATAGTTAAACCATTTGTTGACTTTGCATATTCAGACAAACGCCCGCTGATGATGGGTAAACTAATATTTTTATCAAATCACCTAATCTTATCTTTCTATTGCCTACATTCTGGCACAGTATGCAATGTAAAAAATATTGTCACGCGCATCACCACTAAATATAATATTAACAGATATATTAGCTAAAAATAAAAAAAGCAATTATCAACTTTACTTCAATTCAATGCTGGTTGGTTGCTATCAAAAACAGCGTATTGTATAAAATTTCCAAACAGCTGAAAATCGATTTTTAACAACCCCTAAAAGCAGGCAATGAATGCTATTACAGCCCATAGTAGAATAGCGTATTATCAGTTGTGTTGCAAGAGGCAAAATAAACTTCACTATGCCATTGCCGGCGGTAATGGAAAATAGGTAAATGTAAAGGTTTACATATAACTTTTTGTTGTTTTGTTTTGTTGTTGTTGTTGTCAAAGCTAACAAACGCCATTTGCCAAAAAGTTGCGACTACTTGGAACTACAATAAGCATTTGAGGAGAAACAATTTGGAAGAGATTGCGTGCAAACTGTGAAAATCGAGTGGCGAAATATGCAAAAAAAAAATTGGAAAATAAAGAAATATAAAAAAATTAATTAAATATAAAAAATATTACAAAAATTTTATATTTAATAAAAATACTAAAAATCACATTTTTGCAACAAAAATTTTAGATTTACATGTGTATGTCTAAAAAATAATTCCATAACATTGAATATATTAAAAAGAAAAAAAATTGGAATTAAAAATTAAATTAAATTTTTAAAATTGAAAAAGTTGGATATTCAACAAAATTAAAAAAGATATATTTTACAAAATATATGTATTGAGAAATCATAAATAATTTTTTTTAATTAACAATTTATAATTTCGAAAACAAAATCAGAAAATAAAATATAATGTGCCTTGATAAAAAAAAATTTAAAAAAATATTTGAGACAACTTTTTAACTTATAGGGAAAAAATTAAAAATTTGTTAAATCAAAATAAAAAAAATGTAAAAAAATATTTAAAAAGAACAAAGTATATAATAAAAAATTTTAATCAATGTATAAACAATGTATTAAAAAATATTTCGGATATATGAAATGAATAAAATCCGTAAAAAAAAAAGAAAAAAAAAGTTCATAGTAAATTAAAACATATTTCCAAAACTTCAAAAATTAGCCCGAAAAAAATAAAATTAAACCATTATAAAATTACAAAAAAAAAATTCATAAAAACCATAAACAGAATTTCATTAAAAGTTTTAATTTTTTTAATATCAATAAAATTGAAAAATAAATTGAAAGCTTTTAAAAATGATTTTGAACAGATTTTCAAATATTTTTTTCAATTAAAAATTTTTATTAATACTTTTTTGACTTACAAAAAATTATCTAAAATTAAGAACCAATTACAAAACCAATGAATATTAAATTTTTGATATCAAAAATTATAAATACAAGAAAAAATATTTCAAATATCACTAATAGATGCTTATAAAAATTAATAGTTTAATAAAAATTAAAAAAAAATCAGATTAAAAAAATTACTAATAGATTTTAATAAAATCAAATTTCTAATTTAATAAAATTAAAAATTAATATTTGAACAGATTTAAAAATTACTAAGATATTTTTTGTTAAAAACATTTATGTTTAATTAAAAAAATAATTAAAAAAAAAATATTTAAAAAACTAAATTAGATTGAAAAATAAATAAATTAAAGACATATGAATATTACAAAAAAAAAAAAAATATTTTAAAAATCCCAACTAGATTTTTATTAAAAGAATTTTAATTTATATTTTGTATAAACAAAAAAATGTTGATAAAAAAGTGTAACAGATTTTTAAAATCTCAAAAAAAATTCTAAAAACTGCATAAAAACAAAATCTTACAAAATTTCAAATAATTTTTTAAATTTTAATTTCCCAAAATGGATTTTTTTTAATTCAGAGATATAACAAAATTGCATTTAGAAGCTTTAAAAAATGCCTAAACATTAAATTCTGATTTGAAAATAGTACCACCGTTATTTTTTCCACCTATTTATTCTTCCTTGCACCACTATCGTATACACAATCTCACACAAAGATGTACATATGTAGATAAACTATTTTCATTTATTTTATAATTTATTTTCTTATTGTTTCTGTTGTACTTGTACACTTACCCTTGCATGCAAATGTGCATCCGCCTCGCCCGGCTGTTGTACACCGGTACGTATCTTCTTATTTTGCGGCCCATCACTTATACCGCCACCACCTCCGCCGCCGCCACCGCCACTGCCATTACTGGCGCCGTTATATGGCATTGTGGTCGCCGTTGCGAAGTTGATGTCGGTAATGGTTTGTTGGTGAATTATTTTGGCGACGTTTATTGGACCGGAGGGTGAAATAAAGTATTCCAGCGCTACTGCTGAACGCGGTACAACGCGACCGGAGAACACGGGAAATTCGGAATACAAACAAAAGCGTTTACTTTTGGCGTAGACGCTTTCTACCGCTGCTGCTGCTGTTGCTGTTGCGTCGCCTTTACTAATGGATTAAGGCGCTTTAGCTGGTTCGTTGGTTGGCTGACTGGCGAGCACTGCTTGGCTTAGCGTTTGGCTTCCGGTTTTACGTGCGGCTAAACGCTATTTCGCAATTTTCAATAAAACACTTCTTCTTTTTCCACTTTAAAGAATTTTCAACTTTCTTTATTTATTGCTTTTGATGGTGCGTCTGCGATTTGGTATTTTATTTTATTTCTTCACTTTATTTTTGCTTGTCTAGAGCGCTTTTGACGTTGGTATAACAGGTCGGTTGGTATCTAGTTGCTGCTGTTGCTGCTGTTGATGCTTCGTCTGCCACCTTTGTCTGCTTTGCTTTTATGCTTTCGCTTGTTTGGATCAGCTGTTTTGCGCAAGTACGTCGTTGCATGCAATGGAAGAGAGAAAGAAAAATTATTTCTATAGATATTTTGTTTTGTAACAATGGAATGTGAGGAAATATTGCCAATTGTTAGAAAATATTTTTTTTAGAAAAATATCTGTAAAATTTATAATAAATACGTCTAATATTTATAGAAAATAATTGGAAAAAATTTTAGAAATTTTTAGCAAAAATTCGGCAAAATAAAAAAAACCAATGAGAAATTTTAAAAAAAGAATTGAGAAACTTTTAAAAGAATATCTGTAAAATTTATAATAAATACGTCTAATATTTTTAGAAAGTAAGTGGAAAAAATTTTGATATTTTTTTTGGAAATTTTTAGGAAAAATTCGGAAAAAATATTTAGAAAATTAAAAAAAATTGAGAAATTTTAAAAAAATTATTGAAAAACTTTTAGAAGAATATCTGTAAAATTTTGTTAAGTTTGTAATAAAACTGTCTAATAATTTTAGAAAATTTTTACAAAAGATGTAGAAATTTTTTAGAAAAAATTCAGAAAATTTTTAGAAAAAATTTAGAAAATTTTTGGAACTTTTTTGGAAAATTTTAGGAAAAGATTTAGAAAGTTTTTAGAAAAAATTTAGAAAATTTTTTGAAAAAATTAAGAAAAAAATTAGAGAATTTTTAGGAAAAATTTAGAAAAATTTATAAAATTTTTAGAAAATTTTTGGAGAGTTTTTAGAAAGAGTTTGGAAAAATTAAAAAAAAATTGTAGAAAAAAATAAAAAAAAAATTGTAAAAATTATTAAAACAAAAATCGAGGATTTTGGAAAGAAATCGGAAAAGTTCAAAAAAATATTCGCCTTAGAACGTTTAAAAATGTTTGAGCGTACATAAGGTTCAAAAAAGGCTATATGTATATGCATATATATATGTCATATTTAAATCAACATAAATTTAATTAATGCGGTTTTGTTTAATCAGTGCCAAATAATACCTCAAAAAAGTAAAATGTGAACATCATTAAACTAATTGTTTAAATATATAAACTAATTATATTAATAGTGTATTTATTTTATTAATTAATAATATATTCAATATATGCATCAAAATATATTCATTTAACAATTAATTAGTTGTTTTGTATGATGAATTAATCATTTAATTCATTTATACACTCATTTTAATTAATCAGAATTAAAATAATCAATTAATCATAATAAAAACTTATTGAACCGTCTGCCGCATTATAGAGACTTTTGATCAAAAAGCATTAATTGATTTTAGTTAATTATTTTATAATTCATTTTTAAAAGATTAAGTTAAAGACTAATTAAATCATTAGACTTCTGATTAAAAAGAATTAACGGATTATTTAATTAGTTATATTATTAATTATCAAAGATTAGCTTAAAGATTAATTAATTCGTTAGGCTTCCGATTAAAAAAGATTAATTGATTAGTTAGTTAATTATTTTGTAATTAATTGTTAAAAGATTAAGTTAAGGATTAATTAATTATTTAATTAAACCTCAAGATAATTTATTCATTAATATCAATCAAACAGATTTAATTGAAAGTTCAGAAATTCATGGGAACTGAAAAATAAAAGATTTGATTAATCAATAACCGATTTTTATATAAATCAAATATGATTAATATTAAATTAATTTGAAAAATGTTATGTAAAATTCAGCTTTTTTATTAATTACAAATTGAATGATGAAGTTTATGATTAATCAGAATTCTTATAATCAGGTTTTATTTAAATAATGTGTTGATTTCATATATTGTAATTAAAACGTGAGAAAACGATAAATTAGTAATTGAATAAATTAAATTTCTAAAATAAGAGTTTAAGTTGAGAAATTCCTTTTAAAAAGGTTTTGATGTGCATTAGTCAATTTTCCTTTATTTTATAAAAAATTAATCTTAAGTTAAACAGGCATTAATTAATCAGTTATTTTCAATAATCACACACTGATTAGTCGGTAATTATTAGTAATTATTACAAAATAGCAGATTTGAGAAAATTCATCACTTTAAATATTTATATAAATTAATTAATTAGATTACAAACCTGATAATTAATTAACTAGATTTCAAGATTTCCGGTGTATGATTTATCAATTAAACTTCTTTTTTGCTTATCGCATTTTTTTTTTTTTTTTTGGAATAAACTGAAATTATTATCAATATATAAATCAACTAATCAAGTTTCAAGTATGAGGCTAAATTAATAAATTAAATAAATTAATTAATTAATATAATAAATTAAATCAATAAATCAATTAATTCATTCGGGCCAAGTATGCACACTTAGTTAATTTTCTGTAAAAAAACATTTTTACGATGAGTAAATTAATGTTTTTTGCTAATCAAAAGTCTGATGAGAATTTAAATAATCAGTTTTATGCTTAAATAATCACACGATTAATCAATGAATATTTTTTGTGAATCGCTCATTTTTTTCTAGATCAAAAAACTGTAAAGAATATAAAAAAAATCAATTATCTTTTTCGATAATCATTTTCAAAGATGGAAATTAATTAATTAATTAAAAAAATGACCTGGCCTGCAATTCTACCACGGTATTACTTAGAGGTATATAAAGGATTTTTTCTCCCTCAAGGGATTGCTTAAAGCTTTGTATTTGGCGTTGCTTTCAACTTGATTTCAATCAGGATAAGGAAAATTAACTTTATGGTCTTTAAAGAAGAATGGCTTCCGTTCAAACTTTTCACTCCGAAGATCGATTTGTTTTATCATGAAGACTTCGTACTAGTCTAAGGTCTCTAAGATGGGGTTTAAATGTCTGACTTCACATCATAAGTTCATTCAAGAGTCTAAAAATGTGCTCCCTTCTAACGTGAGTCTCATCATGGACTTGCTCTATCCTAGGAAATGGTTCTAGTTCTTTCTTGGGTTTTTTTGTGTTCTTATAAATAGACTTCATTTAATTTCTTAAGAGTGTTCAGAAATTTCCGAGGCGTTTTATTCCTTCTTGAGTTCCATTTTTCCATACTTTTTAAAATAAATTTGAAATGAGATCGGACTGCTAAGGATACGAAATGAGTTTAACGACTTCAATATCTCCGATCCCAAAGAATGTGTAAGTGTACCCAGCCTCTCCAGAGCAGGAATATACATTAAATAATAACTCTTCTTCAGCAAAATGAACATAAAAGACTCGGTAAATGGAATGTAGAGCAGCAGCAGCTCATTTCACATGGGGTTTGCTCAGCGAAAGAGTACCGAGACTCGACTTTTTTGCTACCTAACAGCTGCTTAAGCTTTGCGGGGAATAAGAGTGATGGAGTATGACCTCTCACAGAACCGTTGGAGACTCTCTTCAAGAGGCCTATAATATCTCTATCTAATTTACCCTTTTTAGAGCCGCTTAAAGAATCTTGAAGCCACTACATTTTTCATATTCAAAACTACTCCACCAAGCAACAACACCACCACCACCAAAGACTATTGTATGGAGTAAGTCCAAATGGAAAATCGCTACTTTCAATCAGTCAGGCAACATTCAAGTGGCAGTGGCAACATTTACTAAAGCACAAAGCACGGCAAAGCAAAGCGTGCGATAATTACAAAATAAATGAAAGGAAAACATTGCATAGACGGCAAAGGAAAAGACGGCGATGAAAATGCGCAAGAGGAAAACTAGCAAATGGATAAAAGGGTGGCAAATTGAAAGCAACCCTCCACGCGATGGATGGATGGATGGTTGGTCTGCAGTTGTTGTGGATTGATGGTATTTACAAACATACATACATACTCGTATGTGGGTAGAAAGCGCAAGGGGAGCTTGAAAAGTAACTGATAGAAAGTAATAACTTCAGATAGGCGGAAAATGATGGAAAAGGTACAAAACAAAGCAAATAAAGAAAAAAGTAGAAAAGAAAAAGCTTGTGGGTTAGCCGGGAAGCGCACAGCGGACAAACGAGCAGCTTGTGGGGACCCCATATAAAATACATACATACATGCATGCCTGCGTACGTGAAAGAAGCATGCAACACTGGGCGGCGGAAGGGAAGAGTGCCGCGCTGAGCGGAGTGCTGAGCTAAAGGATAGTAAAGTAAAAGCCAGTAAAGCTAGACAAACACGGCAGCAGGAAAAGCTATTGAAAGCAGGATGGCAGAAGAGATTGATGGATTATTTTTGGTTGATGTTTTGCTTGCTGACTGTTTGGAAAAATAAAGTTTGTGGTAAAAATATAACTAAACCATAAGATATGTATGTATGTAGAGAGAACTTGATGCTTTCTGCGAACAAAAGAATGTAACCGAAGCTTAATCAAACTTTAGGTTAACGGTAATAGCAAAACTCTGCACTATTCAAAAGCAATGCCTTCGCCATATAGTGCATATGTATGTATGTATGTGGGCACATGGGAGAGTTCTGAGCGCTACGGCATGTAGATAAATAAACAAAGTCTTCACTCTAGATAAATTACATATATGTAACGGCAAATGAAGTAGCATATCAAAGTAATTATTGGGAATTTTGATAAAGAGAAAACTACTTTAATATGAAATTAATCTTTAAAAAATTCATTTACCTTTTTTATAAATTTTTTTTTTTTTTTTTTTAAATACAAAATTTATCATAAAATAAAATATGATACGAATTCAAGTACAAAACAATAGAAAACACAGAAATA